GCACAGCACCCTCTCCAAATTTCAGCTTAAAGAAGTGAACCTGCTCAAATCACTGCTTTGACGCCTTTGATTCAAGCCTTTAAAAAACGATGAGGCCCGAGTCCTTTCGAAATAAAACAGCAGTGCAAGAAAGAGAATGAAATGAGCTTTCCAACGATGTCCAACTGTACAGCAATCGTGTAAAATTTCTCGAAAAATGTCTGATAAAGTATGACACATTGAAACCCGCATTAATTTCTGGACAACCCAATAGAAGTAGCAGCAGTATCACTCGGCCATCGTGACAATCATAAAGGGTGGGGCAAAATTACTGGTGCACTAAATTTTCAATGGCATTTTGACAATAATTCTCACAAATCAATTCTAATTATCAATATTATTCTACAAACATGAAAATACAAAAAATGTTAATGCTTCTCAAAATGATCTTCTTTAGCCTTCACACAGTCTTTCAGACGTTCGAGAAATGCTTCGCATGTGGCACGCGCCCGAGACATCGTTTTCAGTGATGAAAAGATTTTGAAGCGCCGCTTAAGCGTCAAGTTTGGAGACTGGTAGAACGCGATTTGGCCTCCAAGACTGACCACATCAGAGTAGATCGCCATCGGTTTAGATCAAGAGAATGAAGGCCATTGGTTCTGATGAAGTCGGGCAGCGGTTGCTCGGGCACCACTCCTGGACGCATCCTTTTGCTTGGTCGTGCTGAAGCAGATTCCTGCTGAAGCGACCAGTTAGCTTCTCCGAAATGGAGTTGGCCCACGGCTTGAAACTTTCCTCAGATATTTTTTTTGTAACGCTCTGCGTTGATTTTTAACACTGCTTCACACGAAAACGTTAAAATACCACGTTTTTTTGTGTTCCATTTCCATGTTGTTGAGCATGTAATAATTGAAATTGAAAACAGTAGGGTCCTTACCCCAATAGAGGTGACTCTCTCTCAAGCCAAAGAATGGACTGGGTTGTTTCGCTCTGTCCAAGCGTCTTGCCTTTGGTGGTTGCATCAGCAAGTGATCCTGCACATCATCCTCTCAATTTTGGAGTCTGAAGTTGGATTGCAGAGTGAAAATCACTGAAAACTGATGTCCTCGGGCCGGTGCCACCGTGAATCGCTGCAGCATACTTCTTGGATCTCTCCAATTCTCCTTTTTCTTCATACATGTCCGTCCAGGTTGTGTGGGGCATTAGCTGCAAGCAATAGGAACTTCCTTAGCCTACTTCTGACACCTCTCCTCATTGGGAAGCCTCTGGCGCTTACTCCTAACGTCTTTCGCGCAGTCTGATCCATCACTTCCTACGCGTTCCTTCGAATTCTTCAAAAGGAGCTAGAAATCGATTCTCACATTTCTCGCTCGTGACTGTTTTGGGACGTTCCTCTTGCCTCTCTGTCTCTCTTCGTCTCAGTTTCTTTATACGTGCGTACTGTATTGAGCCAGCGTCCTTCGAGTACGGAAAGGAATCTTCACAATTTCTTTCTTGTTAGAATGCCGTCGTTGTGAAGTTTTATTGATCGCGCCTCCGTAGGTCAGACACGACGGGCCATTTATGATTCGAGTCGTAGGAAGTTACCAACCTCCAGCAACATATCACAACGACTGAAACGAGGAAAATCTCCATGAAGTGTTAAAACTTCAAACCTTATAGGTGCACCAGTGATTTTCCCCATGCTGTACATACTTGCAGATCAAGTAAGATTAATTATGACATGTCAATACAAGCAAAACGCGAATGCAACAAAAGTAAGCAGCATTTTGAATAGTGGCTTCAAATTGGTTTTGCGCATGCCGTTGTCGCCATAATTTTGGCGGCACCTGTATCATTGATTTTTAACTGTGGAACAATTCCTTTTAACCAACTTTCGAACAGGGGTATCTTCAGTTTCCTCATAAAAAAGTTTGCACTTATATGCGCTCACAGAATGAATTAAGGATTGTCTCCTGCCTTCATATAGAGAAGTGAAAGGTAATCAATCGCTCTCTCTAACGTATCGGACGAACTACCTTTCAAAGGACCCTTATACTTTTGAAAGGCACTTGTACAATTTGATGATTCTCTGTTCTGTGCGAGTTCTTGATAATGCAGTTATCGCAGATTATTTACAAGCTCTTTCGCAGGAAACAATAGAAATGAAAGATGTGGAATCCCCATGCTTTGAGCTCCTTATCAATTTTTGCTCTTTGTCGCCCGAAAATAAAGATCTACTACCGAACCCATGTGTGGAGTGTTTTGCCGCACCGCTTGCCGCTTCAGCTGAACTAAGTTAAAGGTTAAGCATTGTAAAAATTTGGAATCTTTTCCTCGTTCTCGAACTACTGATACGCCGAAATTCGAAGAGTTTCTGTTCCTCTCCTTGCAGAACAGTGCACTGAATTCTTTGGAGACACAATTGATGCTTCAATCTGCTTGAGAATTCGAAGCTTTTGCTGACACTTATGGCGTGTAAAGAGCTTCTCGCAACGCGTGTTTACGAGTTTATCCTGCAACAATTTCAAGTTATTCTTTTGTCAATTTCTCACTCACAAATTGAGAAATTCATTATCTTTCATCTCCCAGGACTTATTGGCACCGACGGAGTTCTTATCGCTCCCTGTAACCAATTAATTCAAGACTAATTATCAAGTGGAAGAACTCAGGGTGCCGCAGCGGAGCAGGTGTCAGCTCGTTAAGCACTCCTGCTTCGCATGCCATGCGAACTCCTTTCTCTACATTCAAGATCTGACTCCGTTCTTACCCAGGTTTTTCAAAGCGGTTCTTGAAATGGGTCAGGTTCGACTTACCGCTAGACTACTACTTTGCCCGACGTGATGGCTGTAATTCTTCGCGAACGACCAGCGTTACCATCTATTACACTCTAGTTTTGCAGTTGTTTGAGCATGTGCAGCCTCAGCTTTGCGACCGCTAAATTCTGTCAATACTCTCAGTAAGACCCTTTAGTGCAGCTCAGAAGGTGTCTGCCGAATCTTGTCGGCAACAGCGAAGGTTGGTACGTCTTGATGCTGGAGCGCTGCAAGGTGCTTAACGATTTTTTTTTTCATGATTGAGTGTTGGTTGTTTCAAGAACTACGCATATTCTACAACTTTTCTACTCACAAGCAAACTGACCATGCAGGCCGCAACGGTCGTCACAAAAGTGCGCACCAGTGATAACGTCGTACGAACGAACTAAAAAAAAAAACCAAATAAACCGGGTTACCGGGAAAGGCGAAACGCAGTTACGAAATGTCAACCCCGGTGACATGTACAGTGAACGGAACATGCCTACTAAGCAGACCCGCAGCTCGGTCTACGAAGAGACAGTTTAGCTCTGAAATGTATGTAACGTTTGGTAGGTCCGAAAAGCTGTTGTCCTTCAATTTCGGACTAGTTCTTGATCACTGCAACTACATAACAACGAAACGCCTATGCGTGAGATTAATACATATTGGAAGTAAGGGAGGGGAGCTGTGAAAGGGATACGAAGCTCCGCTCAGAACGCATGGTGTTTCAAGACATGTCACTGTCTGTCAACGCTCCACGACGCTCTCTTTGTCTGCAGTAGTGGGAATTACACCGGATGAAGATAGCCCATTCTCTCAGGGAACAGTGAGAGAATTACATATTGTTGAAGCACATACGGTAACCTCGTTCTGTCCTGAAGTCATCATCCTGTCCAACATAAAGAAACCAATGTGCTCAAAGTATAGTCTGTTAGACGAGATCGCTAGAGCAAACGTGGAGAGTAGGAGAGCAAGAGGGGGACGGGGAGGACGGTACAGATAGCGAGAGGGAGGACAAGACCACAGGCGCGGAGCGAGCTCGGGGAAGGATGTACAAAGGGGGGCGAGGTTAAAGAGATCCTTGGTTCCATGGCAAACATGCATCGAATTTTTCGTCGCAGTACATGCCTTGGTAAGAATAATTATACGGCAAGAATAAGCCTTACGCCTCCGGCCCCGACCTGAAGCAAAAGGAGGCCCTCCACTTCAACGCCTCACGCGGTCTCAAGATAGTATAATGTCAAATACCCTAGCATTCTCCGTCAGTTAGCAAGATTAGCGGTAATCGCATCCGGACCTGAAGCTGCACATAACTTCTTCAGTTAGGTTAACTGGTGAAAGCTTACTAAAGAACAAGCTGTGAATATGCAGAGACGCTATTGGCTCAGCTTTCCGGAAGTTTAATGGTCCAATGTACAAGGTTCGACGACCTACTCGTGAACTTCGAGTACGTGATCACTGCGATGTCCCGTGGAACGATGTTCTGATGTCTTTGGTGTAAGAAGGCTGTCATGTAATGGTACTTGATAGGTTTGATTAAGACTGATGGGTGCTGCTTGCATCTTTCCAGTGGTTAGCCGCCATTTAGATTCCGGTTTTGGCAGTGTTTAATTAAATTCCGTTTCAAATGTGTAGGGCAGTGACGTGTTATTACTCCCCCCCCCCCCCCTCCCTGCATACGTCGAGAGAAGCTCAAACACTGCTGAAAGTGGAAAAGCAGAGCGAAAGAGGAGAAAAACACAATTATCGCTGATACAATCCTGATCCACAAAATAAGATGATTGAGATTCCGCTCTAATGTGAGAGTTATTAGCGTACCACCAGGTTACCATGAGGCAACATTTTTGCTGAAGTCCAAGTGGCAGGGACGTGTCGACCTCCACAATCTTCGAAATCAGCGAAGCCAGTATGACGGTCACCTAATGCAGGTCGGCTGAGCGCAGACCAGATTGCGTCAGAGCTACTTATAAACCTTCGCGTGGGAGATTGAATGAGCAAGACTATCGTTCTGTGCAACGCGTTATCTGTAAGAAGCAAATCCTGTTTGGCAAGGGAGCGTTGCTGCTATGGGATGGGAAAGGCAGTCGTTACCTGTCTAGACGACTCTCCCTCTTCTTCTCAAAACATTTTGTTTTTTGCAGGGCAGGACTGGTGTGAGCTGTCCTCGACTAATGTTGCTCTACAAACGCGTTGTGGCTCTTATGGAATAGCGAGGATTGAACCCAGGGTATGAAGAGCGTAAATGACATGCACGATTTCGCAGATGGCAAGATACTCCAGAAGAAACTGCTAATTTTGCTGCGCGTTGGAATGACCGGTACCACAAGCCGTCCTGAGCACAAGTTAGGCATCAGTTATATTTTCCTCATACCTCATCCAGCTGCAACTTTGAAAGACCATGCTGTAAATGATTGGTTGTGTCCATATTGTCATTAGCTTTAGGAAAATGTTATACCGTCGAATTAAGTTTTTTTTGTTTTTCACTGACCGACGAAGCATCACTGGCCAAATCCTGCAGAGTTTGCTATAAGACACCATTTTTCTGCAGTACAGTGCTAGGAAGTGTCGACCTCACAATTAGAAAAATCACAACCAGTGACGGCTCACGCTAAATGCACGTCGGCTGCGCAGACAGATCTGATGTCAAAGCTACTTATACACCTTTCAGTGGGAGGTTGGAATGAGCAGACTATCGGTTCTGTGCAACGCGTTAATCCTGAAGAAGCAAATCCTGTTTGGCAGAGCGTTGCTGCTATGAGTGGGGAAAGGCATGTCGTTACCTTCTAGACTTACGCTTTCTTCTCAAAAACATTTTGTTTTTGCAGGCAGGGACTTGGTGTAGCTGTCCTCGACAATTTGCTCTACGCCGTTGGTGGCTCTTATGGAGATACGGGATTGAACAGGGTTGAGAGGTATGACATGCACGTTTGCAGATGACAAGAACTACAGAAGAAACTGTAATTTTGCTCGAGTGAATGACGGGATAGCCAATGCCGTCCTGCAGTTATGGATCAGTTTTTCCTCTACCTCATACCACTGCCACCTTTGGAAGACCATGCTGTAATGATTCGGTGTGATTCATAGTCATAGCTTGTAGGAAAATGCTATAAAAACAAAATGTTGTTTAGCTCGTCGATATGGTATTCGACGACATCTCAATAGTTACTACTCAGTTTTGGGAAATTTGGGGCTTCGGAAGGGTCTAGCAGTATCATTCCCTTGTGGTGCTTCGCTGTTATTGAGATCTGAACTCTAACATTTCGGAAGGTGCAAGACTAGTTATTGATTTTCATTTTATCCACTGCACTAAGAATCACGTCAACATGAAAGCTTCCCTTGCACAGCCTTATGAATAGACACAAAGTGGACGAAAACTGCTTTCTTCAACAACGCTCACGTCATACAGAGGGCCGCTTTATGGAAATCTTGCCGCGATAGTTTGAAAACTTACTTGATATGCTGAAAAACTCCCTCTTTTCTTTTCAGAAAGAACGTCATTTAATACAGTCTAAAATCCAGTCTAATAAAGCCATCCGTCGTCGCTGACAAGCCAACATGACGTGCATGGGCTGACCATGACCGAGAAGCACACTTGGCCATCTGCAGAAGTTTCATTCTGCGACCGTATAGGCAAGACATTCCCTGGTTGGTCACCAGTGCAGATGAGTCATGAGTCCCTTACGAAAACAACACGAGGCTCGCCCGGTGGCTACCTCGCAGCCCGGATGCAGCACGTCAACCAAAACTTGAGATGTTTCATCAGAGGGTGTGACCCCCGTTTTATTGATTCGCTGGGTATCCCGTTTTGAGAACCATTTCACTTTATGCAGACAAGCATTGCCATGGTAACCATGGAATAGCTTCCAAAGTTGGCTGCAGCAGTGCGGGAGGACGGTTGGAAAAGCCTCAAAATCGTTCTTATCCGGAGGACCGCCTGAAATTACATTGCAAAGAAAACTTGCCACGTTTCGAGGGAATCTAGCTGGACCACGACACCACATCTATCGTATAGCCCCAACGTTGCTCCAACGTACTGCCACTTTCCGAGCTCCCTCAAGCAGCCGCTAGGAGAGGAAAAAGTCAGTAAATACAACCACTCCCAAAACGACCTCTCCGAGCTTTTCATCTCACAGCTTCCCTCGTTCTGGGAGAAATGCATCCATTGGTTCCCTAGCAAAAGAGTGCATATCAGCGATTATGATGGTGGTTATGTTTTTGATCAATTGTTCTTTGGGAACGATAAAACTTGAATAAATCAAAGTGTTGAAATTCGGCCAGGAATTATGGGTCAACCCAATACTTTGCCACGACTATATTTTGAATTTAAAATATCATTCCCGTGTTTTTGATTCATTGCTGGGAATATCCATTGTAGTTTACATGAACTCACGGTGAGTCCTGAGTGTTCACTTTTTGCATAAGCTTTAGATTCAATCCCGCTACTGAAGGATGGTCGAATATAACACCATTGTTGCACAACCGGTCTGCACTTGGCGTTGCTACGCTTGAAGGCTTCATTTATGCAATGGGCGGATGCCACGATGGAATAGTTCTGGGTAGTGTTGAACGGTAAGCACAGATCTTACCGATCCGCTCCGCTGAATTGGTATGCTAATGGTTGCAGATATGATCCTCGCCAAAACCAGTGGACCAGTGTAACACCTATGGGTACAAGACGCCATGCACACTCTGTCTCTGTGCTCGATGGCTGTTTATACGCCGTTGGGGGATGGCTTTCATCACCATTGAATACCGCGGAGAGGTTAGTCGGTCCTGAATCAGGGTCAACCATCCGTTGGCGAAGTTCCATTGCTGGTGTTGACTGGTTGAATGACGAATTCGAACGATGCGGGTTGTGGAAATTAGAAGACACTTGCCTTCAAAATTCGCCTTTCTTTTACGAAATACTTGTCACTGCAGGAAGTTATAGTCCATCGAAAAGGGTGTTTTTGGATCAGAAATGAATAGTTTGAGAGAACTTACTCACTGCATTCGGGATAAAACCGATTTGTCTAGTGCGAACTGCAAAAGAAATGCGAAATATGAATGTGGCATTATATATTTAAGATTTGACCCACGAGTTGGCATATGGGAGCAAATCTGTCCAATGGCAACAGTTCGAAGCTTTTTCGGGTCTGCAGTGTTCGGTGGACACTTGTATGTAGCAGGAGGATGTGATGGATCAGTATATTTGAGTTCTGCTAATAAATATGACCCCCGCATGAACGGGTGGATTTCAGTGGCTGACATGAACGAAAAACGATCCGGCGTGAGTCTGCCTCTATTCCATTTTCACTCTATAGTTCAAGCAAATTTGAAAAAGAGCTTGTCGTTTACAGGTAGCGCTGGCTGTTGTCAACGGAAAGCTATACGCTGTCGGTGGGTGTAATGGTGCTGCCAACTTGGATACCGTGGAAGTTTTTGATCCTGCGGCAAACCGGTGGATAATTCATAGCCGCATGAATGGAGGGTTGGTTGCCTTTTGTGATGAAATTATTTGCATTTCTACACTAACCGAGGCTCTTCTCAGTATCCAACAGCAATCAGAACATTTCCAGACGACGTGCAACTGGTGTGGGTGTTCTTATGCCGTAGCAGTTCCAACGGGTGCGGGACTTTTGGTGTGTCCGGGGTTGGAGGCGGCGAATTGCGCGGCGGCATGCGGGCGATCCGGATGAGACAAGACTTGACGTGCTCAGCAGTAGAATTCGAAACGCCAAAGCGTATCAGATTGCGGATAAACACCGCAATTGTTCTGGGCTCCGAAAAAAGTTTCTGTCCCGCGGAGATTTGGATGCAGCGCGTGTCTGTGAGATTTCAGGCAGAGAAGTAAAGGGAGCACTTTCATGGAACTGGCAAGCTTTCCTATCATCCCTGCGATAAGCAAGCGCTATATAGGGAAGTTTTTTACTGGCAAAAATTGGTTCCGTATAAACTACATATATTGCGTATATCTTTACTGATCGTGCACTCGTGTCTCTAATCGTAAGAGGACATTCAAACAGCCCGACGGTGATGACACTGCCAGGACTAAGCCCAGGCGGGGGAGGTAAGTCCGAGAACACACATTTGCTCCCAGAATCCCCCTTCGCCCTGAGGCTCAGTTCCATGCAAGCAGTAATCTGCTCACTCACTCGCCTGGCCTCTCCTCCCAACCACGACATGCCGCCTTAATCACTGTCACAGCCTTTATGTCGCTCCTTCTCAATCCCTTCCCAAAGTTCCTCAACCATCGACCGCTGATAATTCGCCCACCCGTTGGACTGTAATTGAGACCTGCGAGAATTTATCCGTTCATCATCATTTTTGACCGTGGTACATTCCATCTGCAGACGCACCGCGAAAGATTTGCCATCGGGATCGCCGCGCAGCGCAGCCGTGCTATCCCGACCGCGTGCCAAAAGTCCCGTCGCCCGATTATGGTGGACTAACCATACGTGTAATTGGGTGGAACAGCTTGTTTTGCGGGCCATAGTATTAGATAACACTTACTTATGAGCGTAAGCTTTAGGAATGAAATGGCTTCGTGGCGGCGGTGTAGCAGTTTTCCATTTCCACCAGGTGTTTATGCCAGCTCTCCGAGCTTCAGCACTTACCATGACCCGCAAAATTGCCAAAGTGTTCCAGCTTGGCTGCTTTTTTGATCAAAATCAAGGATTTGTAGTCTTGTTGGCTGAACACAAAGTTCTATTTACAGTGTTTTCTGGACCGAATGAAGCTTGGAATGCTATTAATCAGTTGCACATTCATTTCATGCAGGGGTATTTGTTCTACTGGAGTTCGATTTTCAACCTTATTGTAACCCTGTAGTAATATCCTTTATAAGTATTATTTTGGAATATGATGTCTCAAGTTCAGAAGATGTTTTTTTTTGAACTGAATAAACATGTAGAACAAATTTATTATATGTTTTTGATCACCTCCTTCCCGGGATACGCCATGTCTTCGTCCTTCGCATACCGAACCATGTGCGCCCACATCTTGAATCGCAAATTCAGCGGTCAAACATTGATTTGAGGCTAACTGATGACCATAACTGCTTTTTGATCCACTCAGACAAATCTATCCCCACGTCTATCAGGAATCATGTCAGCTGTAAGTGAAACCGAGTTACTGGACCATGCAAGTCGCCATGATCACTTTTAGTAATCTCATTCATGCCCGTCATCTATCCTACTTGAGATGACAAAGAATGAGAGTAATTCAGTTATGCTAGGCCCAACCTGTTGTCCGGCTTTCCACGAGAGTATGGGGGAGGGGGCTCAACGATTGAAAACCTTCGCGGATACCCGCCCGGGAGATTAGCAGCGCTTTGGGACACTTCTTAAACAGCTTCTTTGGAAACAGCTTCCAATCAGCCGCTGCAGGTAGGGTGAGGGCGTACTTACAAATGGATGAGTGGGAGCGGGAGGCAGATAGACTGTGTCAAATGGTTGAATAAAATTAGCGAATAGCGCTGAATGGTTTTCCAAAGAATAGTAGTTTGTAAGGAAAGCTTCTTGCCGTTTTGAGATCATGTTTCAAAGCATCAGTTCTGATTGAGATTTTCTGGTGGCCTCTTCGTCTGCGTATTTTTCGGAAAACGCGCTTCCCTTTGCCCCTAATCAATGGTGTTGTCAATGATTTGTTCTAGACTGGCTATTCCCACTCTTGAACATTCTTGCATACAATATGTCAACGAGAGCGGAATTTGTGGGGGGGGGGCGATCAGGCATGCCCGTGCGTCCGAATGACGGCAGAGACGAGGAGGATCGCCAGCCACGCTATTTGATGGAAGGACGTACTACACTACATTCATTGACTTGACGCGATAAGCGCTACAGTATGCGCTAAGACTGCCGACGTGCGCCCGCCTTGCCGACGGTGACGGGCCTCCTGACTGGCACCAGCGGATTTGCATGATTTCATCCTTCAACTTTAACTAGGTCAGAAAAGATTCACACGTGCTCGTGATCTGAAGTATTCGTTTTTAATGCCGGCGAATATATGAAAAATTGCTATCAACGAGTTTGTATAAGCTTGCTGTGAGATGGCGAAGTTTCGAACGTGTGGTGAGGGTGGTCGATGGAACGATCAAAATATGGTTCGTTATGGCTTGGTAAAAAATTAGCTGAAAGATTAGCTTAAGATCAGTTGTGTTTAAGATCTTTAGGAACCGTTACGAATTAACACTTATTTTTGCAGTCACATAATACTGAGAAGTTTCACACTAAAAGGTCGATAAGGAGAAGCCCGCAAAATCAAGGATGCGGGAGGGCCGTCTGCCCTTCTACCATATTTCATCCCGATAAATATAAGAACACGTTTTATCGTCGCGAGATTGTGATATGTATGTGGAATAAGATCCTCGTAAATCCAAATGTGAACTTGGCTTTTGACTGTTCGACGAGGATAGTGTTAACAATTTTCCGCAAAGGTGAAAACCGCACAAGATGTAACTTGCTTTAACGCTCTATCCCAGGACTCCTGTGGCGGTGTCGAAATATCTCGGCGTCTTTCTTATGCTTTAGCATCTTGCGCCCATAAGTGGGTCGACTCTTTTCCACGACTATCTCACCCGCCAACAGAAAAACTCGACTCTGCTAAAAAAAGAACTGCAGGGGTGTCGAATCATAGTAACCACAACGTCTGCCTCATGGATCCTCCCATTCCGCTATTCACATGCGAATTTTTAAAGCCGTTCCGGCATTACTTCTTTGTAAGAAATGCTACGACACGCTAGACGGGATGAAAAGATCGACTTTAGCAGCCGAGCCAGAACAGAAGTTGTGGTTTGCTATCGGCATATGTGGCATTTGAAGTTCTAATCCGAAACTGCGAGAATTTCCTCTCCCTAACATGTTTTTGAGGAACAAATACCGAAGGGGTCGGAGACGAATTGCACCCTTACTGTCTATGGTATACAGGATGTAGATAGGGTCTGAAATTTTGTAAAGTGGTATGAAAATCAAAATAACGTGAAAAAATCTACCACAGCTATGAATGTAGTGTGGTCTTGGAAAATCACCGCATTATAGGTAAAATACACGTGAAGGGCACGTATAAATTTAAGTGGTATGTGGAACGCATGGCGCATCACTTCTTATCAATAGGTATGGTAAAATCAAGTCCTACTGCGAGACTCCTGTATCGCTTTCCCCCATTATCACTACTAATTATGCCGCACTTTTAAAGGCGCAACCCAGGCGGAGACGCGTAAACGATTCCCTTGGGTGATAGGACAGACTCCTAGAGGGCAAGCACAGATGCGGGATTCTCGTGCACGGAAATCACCCGGCAAACGCGCTATGGTCCTGCAAAGTCAGCTGCTACAACTGCAATTCCTCTTTAACAGACTGCTGTCTAACGCCCCCTCATCTGTTGCGCTCTTTCGCTATACTCTCCTCTCCGCACTTGGTCTCTCATTGGTTCAGTACAGCCGATTACGATGGCGAGTGAATCCTTAACTAAAGCGTTCTCGACGAATTCTTTACTTTGTTCTTCACCCCATTTCGCACCAACACCGAAGTCGTTCAGAACATTGCAAGGCCCCGAGCAAAACCGTTTTCAGAGTCGAATTCCTGTTTACTTTCCCATTTTCCTGCTAGGACATCGTCCCTAAATAAGTACACTGACTCAAATAGTCCGAAGGGTTGCAACAGCCCGCCTCGATCCGAAACAAACATTGCCATATATGGGAAAGTATGCAAAGCATTAGTGAGAGCTCGTTCAGAGTCAAAAAAACTTTGAGATTTTCTTTCAGGAAGTTCCTCCCACGTATAATTTCGAGATATTCCTAAGATTCCTATCTATCTGTTCTCAGGGGGGAATGAATGGATCGCTGGGAATGAAAACACTTATGGTTTTTTAATACCACAAATCGGACTATATTACAGGTAGCTCAGCCCCATTAGCGCCTCATCATCTATGAGGAAAATCGCACGCTCGATTTTTCAGCAGCACACCCAGATGCCCAAATACAATCACTTCAACTTCTCATCCCCAGTGATCTCCACGTGAAGCCTCTATTTTTGATTACATGTATGTATACCGAATAAAAATAGTTCCAAGTGTATAAATAGGGGTCGTGGTCACCGCGGCCATAACACTGACAACCCTTACCCGGCCTGTCTAAGTTGGACATCATCCAAGCCAACTCAGTTCGACTTCAAGAGGATGAGCAAATCAGCCCTTTTGGCGTTTCTGCTGGGGCCGTATGCTGAACGTTGGAGAGGGATGGAGTTTCGACAATCGAAGGACTACTTCAGCTCGGTCGGTACGGCAGGAGAGTGATGACGAAATGGTGCAGCTACGTCCAGCAGCTCCGCCAAAAAGACTGGTTCGCTAACCACAGGACTAAGCCTTGGAGAGAGGAGACGGACCTGCGCAGGTTCGTCTTCTCTTTGAGACTTAGTCCTGAGGTNAGCATGAAATTGAGCGGTCTAAGGACCGAGTGAGTAGTCAGTCGANCGGTCGGGACCCCATCTTT